GATCTCAGTGCCGTGGAAGGATGCTGTGCCCATCCTGGTACCACGGAAGGATGCTGCATTCACTGTGTGCCCTGTGGGGGTACCAGCAGCAGTGATCTCCTCCCTCGATGACCCAGTGTGTTCCCCAGGTCCCAGGCGGGTGGCAGCAGGAAGGGTGCTGCTGAGAGGAGGGCTTGGGTGACTGCCACTGAGGTGAGATTGTGGCTCGTGGGCCTGCAGACACACACTGGAGCCCTTTGGCCTCCTGCAGAGCTTTGTGCATCCTCGGGGCAAGTCAGGCACTTATCATCCCCTCCCTCGTGGTGTCCCTGACACTCTTCAGGAAGCTGAAGATATGGGACCCTCCAGTCCCTTTGGATTCCAGTGCAGATGGAGGCTTCCCCGTGGAAGGGCCAGCCCTGTTGCCCGGCTCTGCTCGCTCGGCCTTGGCCTTGGCTGCTGCAACACTGATGTACTTGGTGACGATGGTGATGTGGTGGGACCTGAAATCTGCCAGCGCCGAGACGCACCGGTTGAAAGCGGCGCAGAGCCGCGCGTCCCCGGAGGACAGCACGTGCTGCTTCAGGGAGGGGGCACGGTGCAGCTCCTCCACAAAGGCTCTGTGGGGTGTGGGCATGTAGTCCCTCATCCTGTGCAGGAACGCAGCTGCAAGGCACCAGCAAAGGAGGAAATAAGTTGTGGTGTCCACAACTGGGTCAGTGGTAGGAAACTACCCAGGAGTTTGGCTTCCACGATACTGGGAGCATGAGGCCCTGGAGCATCCTTGCTTCAGGCACCACTGCCACCCCCGCCTCTATCCCCAGCACTGAGGTACCTCGTGGTACCTGACAGCCTGCACAGCCTCCAGCCCTCCAATTAATTGAGGAAGAAAAGCCATATTAGGTCAATGCTCCATTAGGGTTGGTCTTAGCCCTAAAAGGCAGGTTTCAGCCCCTGCTCTCAGCCTTTTGGTTTCAAGTTCTTTGGGGTTTTGGTTGCTCTTAGAGCAGTTTTGCCAATTTCTGATAAATACATTCTGTTGTGGGCCAGGCTAATGAAAGCTACGTGAATGAGTGAGCTACGTTACTGGCAGGATGCTGGCACCCTCTGCTCCCCCATCTCTGGTCCCATATATAACCCTGACACACAAAAAGCAAAGTCTGTCCATGCAGGAATTTCCAGTGGCAAGGCAGTGCCTGCCAGAGCCTCGTTTATAGCCTCCCTAACGAACCAGGCAGAGCCTTGTGAGGGCTTTGTGATGGAGAGATGGGCACATGTCCTGTTGACTGGCAGCTCCAGGCATCCCGATGGGAATTGCCCTGGCTCAGTCCCTCCCCTGCCCCTTATTTACTTAGGAAAAATAACAGTGTGTGACTTACTGCTCTCCTGGCTGTGGCGGATCCCCAGGAGCTCATCGAAAGCGTGCAGGACAGTGCTCTGCGCCGCGCTGCCCCCCGAGAAGGCCATGGGCTGCTCACACACACCCTCGTAGATGAGCCCGTCTGGCATGGCAGGGTTGTCCTTCCAGCTGGGGGGGACACACAGCAGTCAGAAGGGAGCAGTCACGGGTGGCTGATGTGGGGGGCCACTACAAGAGGTGACCCCAGGCTGGGAAGATTGAGTAAAACCTTCCTTACCTGGCCCATGGATCTCCTCCTCCCTGCTCAGCCTTGTCAGCTGCCCTCAAACACGAGATAAACTTGGACAACAAACACTGTGCCAAGGCACAGGACAAGGTCGTGGGTGCAGGGAGAAACCCTTAATTACCCTTTGCCTACGATCTAGGGCTCATTCTAGGGGAGTGCCCATGGTGCTGGGTCCCCACAGCCCTGTGGCTGCTCCTCCATCTCCCACTCGAGGCCCATGGCAGGTGCCATGTGCTGGTTTACACGCTCAGGGGTGCTGTGGGTGTGCAAGAAGGGGCAGGGGGGTGTCCCTGCTCCAGGCAAAGGAAAATAGCAGCATCCAATGTATTAATTGCTTAAGAGTGGCCCTTGGAAGTTGGGCTGCCTCTGTGCCAGACAGAGTTGCCCAAATACTCTTTCAAGCCCTTGAAGTTTGTACTTCGGATTTCTTGTTCTTGTTCTCTTGAAATTATGTCTTTAAAGACAGCACAGGACAGCCTGCCTTTATTTATTTCAGCAGAGAACAAGCCTGTAATGTGATTTCCTCCCTCGCATAAACCTGCTCGTCCTCAGAAGCCCAGGAACTGGGCACCATCGTTGCCTCCCCCCGTGCACCACTAACTCACAGCCCCTGTCATCTGGCTTTATGTGCCTGTTGTGCAAAAATGGATAAATGCTGGCTCATAAACAGAAAGCAGAGTTATAATTTCAGAGAGATAATGTGACTGGCACAAAAACATCTCTTGACCTTCTGAAGAATGTTCATTTCATGAAGCTTTCACTGCTGGCTGCTAAGGCTGTTTGAAGGCTGGAGCAGATTTTGCTCCAAATGTAGAGAAAATAGATTCATCATCAAATACCGTAATATTTTTAGCTCTCCCAGGGATGTATTTATAGTAACCTTTACTAGTGGGAAGTTCTTATAAGCAGAGGGAATTTAAAAGGCATGTTATTCCAGGCTGATGACCATCAAGATAAGGTCAGTTTGGATAAAAAATGAGAGAAACCTAATGAGGATGCATGGAGCCTTTTGACTTAGGAATGCTGAAGAGAAACAAAAATAGAACCCCCCTGAGAAGCCCAGGAGCAGAACAGTTGGGATGCTCATGGCCTCACAGTGAAGATGAGGGATGACAAACCTGCAGAGCTCTCCTCTCAGGGTTGTGCTTCTTCCTGGCCCCGCTGACATGTCCACCCTGGGGGCCATCACTGCCAGACACTGCACCAGTTCCTTCCCTGGGGTCCTGGTGTTGTGCTTGGGCTGCCCCTTCCCAGCCTATCCCCTGCTCCCCAGGAGCTGCCAACACAGTGGCTTGGGAGGGAAAGGGGAAGACACTGAACTTACCCAGAGAGAAAAATCCGGATCACAGTGTAAAATACTGTTGGGTCCACATAGTCTAGGAGGAAACCAAACCATGGATGTTACTGTGGGCTAAAGGCCACTTGCTCCCTCTGCATTAGTGCTCCCCAAGTGGCAGCTGGGGTGACCCACATCTGTGCTCCAAGCAGGTCCCGGCAGGAGGGGCCAGTGCAGTGCAAGGAGCCCCTCTTCACAGTGGGCTTCTCCCAGCTGGGCTCCTTGGGGCACCACAACGGTGCCTGGGGCTGCTCAGCCCAAAATCACCCCCTGCTTTTACCCTGGGCCCGTTTGGGTGCTGCAGTGCACCCGAGCTGAGGCGCCCACTGCCCGGCGAGGACAGGAGCTGCTCTCGGCTGCTGTTACCGTGCATCCGCTGCAAAGCCTTGCCCATGTCCCTGATGGCCTCTGCCAGCTCCTGCAGGGCATTGTGCAGGGTCTCCTCATCCAGCTGCAGGATGGCATGAATGGCCTGAACGATGGCCTGAGAGAGAGGAGAGCACAAAGTACTGAGGGGCTGGGATGTCTGCATACAGCATCTTTGGGTACCCACTGCCACCCATGCCAGCTCTGCCCCTTCCCTAGCCCATGAGCAGTGTGCAGGGATGGTACACCTCCTGGGTGTGCCTCTGTGGGTGCTTTCTGAGTGAGCAAAGAGGTCCAGGGCACGCAGTATCCTACCTTAATCCCAGGAACAGCAGCCTTCTCCACCAGGAGGGTGACCAGGATGAAGCCTTGCAAGCTCTGTCCACCGGGCAGTGAGATGATGGTGTCCAGGTTCCTGCAGGGGCAACCGGCAGAGCAGGTGAGCAGGGAGCCTGCTCAGGATGGCCCCAGACACCCCAGAACCCCTCAAACTCCTGGAGCAAAACCCTCCTGGCTGCCAAGCCTCTTCCCTTCACCCGGACAGAGACAAATTGACATGGAGAAAAAGGGGAGAGGGGCTGCTCTGGTTCAGAGGAACCCACGACCCTCCCTGTGCACTGTGCTGACCAGGCTCTGCATGGACAAGAGCAGCCCACGGTTCAGCTGCGGCCACGGCACGATGCTGTTGTTGCAGTGGCATTTGTGTGCCAAAGACTGCGCTGGTTTTGTTGTGCTCATTTATCAAGAGATAGGCTCAAGCTAAGCAGAGACCCGCAGTGTTGGAGTCCTGAGCCAATTCAAACAAAACTAATACTGTTAGAAAATAAATAAGCATTTTAAATACTTACTCAATTTCCAGAGGCCTGAAGGCATTTCAGTTATTGCCAACAAATGCACCAGAAAAGGAGAGAGAAAGAGAGATGTTATAAATTGTTTCAGCACCAGACATCTGCCTGGCAAAACCCTTCCCCAGATCTTCTGCATGAGACAGGCCCACCATGATGGTGGGTTTTCAATGGGTTTTGGCAGAACAGGAGCTATTTGGGAACAGTTTGTCCCTCTTGTGCTGGACGGACCCTGCTCAGGCTCGTCAGGAGGAACCACACTCAGTCTGCCCATCTTTGCCCGTTTACCCATTGGGGTTCTTCCTCCTCCAGTTGGCCAACACAAAGTCCGCATGGCTGAGGATGGGGGGGAGGCCGAGAGCCTGTGACACCTCCCAGAAGGGGACAGCAAGATTTCGGGGCAGGACCTGAATGGCACAAAGCATAGGAAAGGACAGGGACACTGTCAGGTTGGGGAAAGGTGCCCCTCTGCAGGTACCCCACCAGGCAGGACGGGTCACGTTCCTGCTGTGGCCTCAAAGCCAGGAGCTTTGCTCCCATGGGATGAGTCCCAGGGGAGAAGCATCAGATCCCAAGGAGCAGGAAAACTTGCTCTGCATTGCTCTTACCTTCACAGTGCCCTCCTCGCCCTCCTGCCAGACGTAGCCCATCGTGATGAAGCTGAGCACCAGATGTGCCAAATGCAGCTCCTCGTGTCCTTGCAGGTGCTGGGTGCTCAGCTGTGGCATCTGCCAGGGAGACCCTTGGGAGCATGGGGCACCTCAGGAGCACGAGGCACCATGAGGGTCCATGATGGGGGCTGTCCCACCAGCCAGAGACAGACCCTGCTAGTGCCTCCCCCTGCCCTTGCCCTCCCCTCCATTCCCTTCCACCCTCACCGGGTTTGTTCCTGATTTGCTGTCGCTGGTTTGTTGAGCACAGACAACAAACCACAGGGTTTTACTCAAAAAGTCAGCCCCTCAGCAGCTATTGTCACCTCTAGAGGGTTTCCCCTGGCACCACTCACTGTGCTCCAGCCCTGGCTGCCTGGGCTGGCCAGTGCTGCTGGAACTGACATAAGAGTCAGTTCTGTGCCGACCTCGCGGCTTTGCTTTTGTAGCCCTGCCTGCCTGGGCCCCTGCTGAGGACATGGCTCTGCTGCTCCTTTGCTCTTCCGTGCCTTTTGCAGACACTGCTGTGCCCAGCCAAGGTCTGAGAGAGCTCCAGAGCCAGGAAAGGTAAGGCAGGTACCTGGTGAACTCGTGAGCGGAGCTGATGGCTGGCGATGAGCTGAGGCAGGTCGTGGGCAATCTCCATCCAGGGGCCATAGGGCGCCGGCAGCTCTGCCTTGGTGGAGAGAGGGGAGGGTGGTTAATGCCCAGCCAACCCCCACAGCTGGCTAATGGTTCCTGTCTCGTTCCCCCTCTCAGAACAGCAGCCTGCATACTTGGAGGATATAAACAAGGATCTGCCTGTCCCTGAGCACTCCCACTGTGCAGTGCCCCCCGAGATGAACTGTTGCACTCTGAGCATGGGAGACTTGCAGCCTGACAGCTCTTGTCACACTGCCTGAAATCCAGCAAAGCCAAGGCCAGTGTGTGGGTTGCAAAGCTCCTTCTCCTCTCCCTCGTGCCACTTCCTGCAGCCAGCTTTCCAGTTTTCAAAGTGAGGGGCTTGTCCTGTCACAGAATCACAGAACCACGAAGGCTGGAAAAGACCTTTAAGATCATGAAGTCCAGCCTATGTCTAAGCCAAAACAGCCCATACCTTCCTCCTTGCTCTTTATAAATTCTTATAAGTAGTGTTAAGTTGAACCCAACCAGAAAGCTGCTCACCAACCCCTCTACTTTTCTGTTCTCTGTCTCTTGTAGCATCAGACACAGCAGCACAGCCATCTCCTACCAGAGGACAGGGAAGAAGGAAGCCGTACTCCTCGGAGAGCTGGAACCTGCTGAGCACCAGGGGCAGCGGGGTCTCCTCTGTGCCATTCCCAGCCTCCATCGCCGGGCGCCGGCTGCGGGGTCGGGATCTGCTCCGGCTCGGTGAGACGCGGCCCCTCCGGTATGTGCTGAGCCAGCGCCGAGCACCAGCCGTGGGGCTGCACGTACCTTGTCCCAGGGGAGCAGGGCCCGGCTGCCCAATGGCCGGAGGGGCCGAGCAAACACGGCTAAAGGTTGCCGATAAGGTGCTGCGGAGCAAACACTGATCTCTGTCCCTGTGGGCACCCACCGCTGGGGATGGTTCGGGGAAGCTCCCTTGCCGTGGGTAGGGGCTGCGAGCTGTCTGTTCCCAGGACCCACCCCTCAGAGCTGCAGGGATGCTCCAGGCTCCCATGGGAAGCTGCACTGAAGGGGCCATGGGTTTATCTGCCTAATGACAGACTGGGAGCTGACGCCATCATTAAATTCCCAGTGACAAACAAAGTGCAAGACTGTAATAGTGTTAAATGGCAGCCAGACTGCAACAGCAGTGTTAACTGGCAGCAGTGAATGGCGTGCTGGTACCCACCCCAGAGCACCAGCTGTGCTCTCCCTGTGGCTGCATGCACTCCCTCCCAGGGGGGCAGGGTGACGGTGAAGCAACAGACGTCAATTAGACCTTGGTCTGTGGGTTTCTGACCTAGTTGAGATGCAGAGGAACAGAACTCCCTGCCTGCTGGGTGGTGAATGCTGGTGAGGCCCACACCACAGGCAGAATGGAGAG